ACGATTAAAGAATTAAATGAATGCTATTACGATTAAAGAATTAAATGAATTATTTCATTTAATAATTCACGTTATTAGTCTTAAATACATTGCTCAAATCAGTTGTTATAAATTATTAATTAAAATTTAGTAACGCTGCGGACAGGACCTGCTATGCTAAATTGATATGGTAGAATGTGACACGAAAAAGTATTGGTTGCCCGGTTAGTCAATGTAAGTATAAAAATAATCTAGTAAAAAAACAAACAGTACAGATATTTACATGATTTTATTAGGTATTGAAAAAAAAATAAAAATCTATTTTTTATCTATATTTATTTTGACAAAATATATACACGAAATACTACATATATACGAATAAAATCAAAATACATACATCGAAAAGTATGTACAAACTATAGTGCAAAAAACAAGTATTTGGAATCCCATTTTTTAAACTTAAAGAGAAGTATTCTCTATGGGCGTATACTCTAAGATTTTCTGTGGAATAACAAATTTATCAGGATTTTGTTCCAACAAGCATCCTAGAAGACGTGGTACCGACAATACAGTGCCAGATATCACAGAAGGGAAGGCTAATTCATTTGTCGATTTATATCCAATCAGTAATCTTTTACTAAAATATTCACCGTACGCAGATATATGGCCAACTTCGATATATTGTTTCGAGAAAGGTGACCACAATTCAAAGGATACACGCATTGATTCCCAAGGTCGCAATTCTGAAGAAGACCGTAGCACAATTTGATAATGATCGCATATATTGTCATATAATTTACACACAGTGTTTAATAATCTTTCAAATTGTTCATTGTACTCTTTAGTTTTTCCGTCTTTGACTAATATAAATGCAAGCGCAGCTGAAGCTTGGCAAACAGTGAACAAACCAATTGGGTTAGAACCTGATCGAAACGGAGTATACTGCCTCCCAGTGGAAAAATATGCTACTGGAAAATGAGTTGGATTTATTAATTGTTTTGCATGCATTGCCAAAAATGAAATTAGACTTGCACCTCCAACAAGGTGCATACGATTTGGGCAATCCTTATCTACATCGGAATGATTGTCTATTATAAAAGCATCGGCAGGATCTTCATGATTAAGACCAGAGCCGTCTATTACTAAGCTACGGCTAAAATCTGCACCGGCCACTCTAATCATATTATCCGCGCTGAATATTTTCCCAGCATAACTTAATACACCAAGTTCAAAAAGAGCTGCATCGTTACATAGATAATATTGCATTGGGTTTCTATATTCCAATAAACCAAGACGTTTCCCAATTTCGATGTGATTCTTCTTATCAGAGTGTGGAGGTTCATTTAAGGAATTAACACGTTTTAATACAACAGGACCTTGGATAGGCGTTTTCCCATCCAATTCATTCGGTAATTGGAACATTTTTACCAAAATACTTTCGTTCAGTTCCTGAAGAGTATCTTTAATCATTTTTAAGTCATACTTTATCACCGAGATTTGCAATTTTAATTTCGTAAATTCCGCTTGTTCGTTTGTAGTTAAATTTTCCTTTTTGAACAAAGGAACCAATTTGTCTGATATCTCCTGACTTCTCAATTCTAATTTAGATTTATTTACGTGTACAGATTTGTAAAATTCCCACATACTTTTAACATCTTTAACGTCCAAATTCAATCCCCGTCTTGTTAAGTCTTGCTGTAGTTTTTCAAGATTTGTTAATCTTTCATCGAAATCTATATATGGGTGTAAAAATGAATAATATTCTTTGCCTTTGACATTTGAAATAAACAAAGCGGAAGTATATTGTCTTTTAAAAGTCAATAGCACATTGACAAATTTTGAAGTATTATGTGTTTTATGAGTTGTACATTTCCTTATAAAATGTAGTACACAATTTGCCATTTTAAATATTTATCAATTTTTTTATAATTACTTGCGCCTGTGCGAATTTTTCAATTCAAAAACAAATTTTGTTTCTTAAAAAACTTAATTTTTATGCATCCATCTTTGCTAGTTTAGCTTTTGATGAATTATCTGTTTCGACATTCACGTTATAATTGTCTCGACTTATTGTATCGATTTTTCTTTTTTGTGGTGCAATGTAATTTCCTTTACCAGCTGCTTTCTCTGATTCCTCGATAGAATATGGTTCTAATTCAAGAGCTTTCAATCTGCGTTTATGAACTTTTGTCGTAAAATGATCACTTAAAGCAGTATCATTTATAAAATATCTTCTGCAAAAGAAAATGAATTCTTTAATACATTTGAATATTCATAATACGAGAATAAAAATATTAAAATATCAAATGTAACTATTTAAATGCAAAAGTAATGAGTGTAAATATTACAAAGTAACATATATTGAAAGGTTATATCATTTGAAACGATATAATATGTAACATAAACACTCACGCGCAATGAATACAATAGTATTGACCTGCTCCTGGTTTATCCAAGTCTACTTCTTGATTTAGCAGTTTTTCTACATTTTTATCATTCAAATCTTCATTAATCTAAAATAAAGAATATCGGATAATAATTGCCGATCATATGTACCCATGTGACACACGATAAGTTAGGTTAGATTTAACAAATTAGGTTATACCTCGTCTAAATCTTTCGTTCTTCTTTTAGTTCGCCAACTTTTCTTTAAATGTGTATCTCCTCTATGATATTTTTTACGTTTATAAACCATTTTCAATGAAAAAATGGATCATGCAATAAAATTAAATTGTATTATTATCGCGTTCTAAACAAAGAATTGGTTAAGTTTGAACATTACTATATTAATAGAAATTTTTATTCATTTTTAATTTATACAAACAGATAATAATACTATATAAAATTTATTAATTCATATAGTTCTAACAATTTGATATTCATATTCTGTTTGTAAAAAGGAAAAAAGAAGTTTGCAATTACAATTTGACTTGTGATCCGTTTTCATAGAAACGAGTGTTTATGTTCAAGATATATCGAAGTAAGTAAATAATTTTCGATTTTTGAAATTGACAAATATCAAATGTAAGCCGTAAGATATCAGTGCATACAAATTTGTTACCAATGTAATTTACTAATATTACAACTACTTTTTGGAAGTTTTAGCTATTGGTCGAACAATGTCATGGCGGTTTCGCATTTATGAGAATTCGTAAAAAGGTTATAATGCGCGACGAAGTTTTCAATAGTAAATATCGCGAATCATACTGACGTTGATTGATATCTTTCTGCCATCCTAATTCTTTCAAATTGGACACTGATGAATTTTGAAAGACCAACGAAATTATCAGTGATTACATATTTGTGAAATGAACTTAAAACAACGAACGTAGTACACCGAACGTGGTATTAGAAAGGTGCAAGTTACGAATATTCGTCTTGAGAAAAACAGGTTACAAATAACAGATTAACGCTTAGCATCGAAGAACGTTCAACGCATAGATACAGAAGAGATCAAAGTTAACTGGAACTGGTAGAGAATAGAATTAAAGAGAAAAAAAAAGAAGATTCATAAAAGAGCATGCGCATTGGGATGAGAATCTTTTGCTTTAAAATTGATGGTAACACCGTAGAGTCGACAGATGTCGGTACAATAGGTCAGAGTAGGTCGCGCCTCTACCGGCGAAGCGTATGATCAATTCAAACGGTGCGCCACTGACTTGAGGGGGGTCCACACCATTTTGAAAGTAAAAATACTGCGCGACCCGGGATTTTGTTTGTACGGTTCGGCGAGGGTAAAAAAGCGGCGAGGGCTAGGCTGTGGTATGGTTGGGACAACGCGGTGTCGCGCGTGAAATGACGTAGAGTGTGCGAGGGTGTGCCGCGTGCGGTACGAGGTGTGTTAGCGGAAACGGTGTCGCGGTGTGTAGGGTCGGCGCTGGCCGTAGCTATCGCAGCGTACGGGAAATTGGCTGTGGCTTCGCCAATGGATGCCAGGCAGGAGAAGACGCCATTTTGATATACGGGCGCACGTCAAGCGTTCGCTCGTAGGGAAACGCGCTCTCGAGTTGGTCGAGCCGCTTTGCGTTGAGCCGCGCAGGTGAATTCGGTGGTTCGCTCGGTTGAAGAGCATCGTTGGTACGAGTGCGTGGCGCAACGTATCCGAACGGTATCGTTGACAAGTGACAGGTGAATCGATCGGGCCGCGAGGAAAGTCGCGTTGCGGCCCCGTGCCCGTAACACGGTTCGCTCGGTTGATCGGTAGTGACTACTGTGTGTGGAACTACGTGTACACATTCGGATTTTTCCCCACGCGGCCGAGAGTTGAGTGTGCACAGCGAGAGACACCGTAGCTAGTGTATATTGGTGCGGGGATCCGGGGAAGCGGTGTACGCGGCAGGGAAAAGCCGCTGCTGTCTCGCTGGTTTCGCGCGCGCGAGAGAGGCCACCGGCCGACACTTTGGGCCAGGACAAGACGACCCGATGTCAGGAGCGGGTCGCGACCCCGTGTCGACCCGTGGTCGTCCTCGTCCTCGCGTATCCATCTCTCTCATAGCACCAGGACGCTCCTGGCGTAAATGTGTTCTCATGAGCGCCCATGTGCACCTCTTTTTCTGCCTGCTGCCCCTACGTGCCCTGTAAACCCAGAGCACACCCCGATTAGCACGCCCACGCACTCTATCACTCGCGAATATGGCCAAGATCCTCAACAAGGACCCCGTCACCTATGAGAGGGAGAGGGAAAACTTCCTTAAGGACCTCCGTCACTTCCATGAGACTAGAGGGTAAGTCGATTTCCATCGTTTCCGTTTTACCATTGTATTAATTACCTCTCTTTCTCTCTCTCGTTACCTCTCTCTCTCTCTCTCTCT